AGTTGTGGAAGGAGATGCTTGTTTCATTGTTTAATAACACAGTTTAATTTGAGGTTTTTCTTTTTTTTTTTAACAATTTACATAAGAAAGAAGATTGGGGATATAAGTATATATATTGAAATATAAAAATATTTACATCCCTAGTGTCCCCTTCTTAGGTAAATGATAACATACTACGTACACTTTTTCTGCCTTGCTTTCTTCACTCAACGTTACATCCTGGAGATCCCATCATGCAGCATATAGAGATATTCTTTGTTCTTTTTTCTACCTGTATGGTAGATCCCCACCCCACCCCCATCAATAGTTTATTCAAATGGTCTTCTATTATTGGACATTTGGATAATTTCCAGTCTTTTGCTATATAAGTTGTATTGCAGTAAATATCTTTGTGGCATGTGTCTTTATATATTTGGTAATATATATGTAAGATTCGTTTCTATATGTGGGATTGCTGGGTCAGGGTAAACACACATGTAATTTTGCTACATATTGCAAATTACCCTTTTAAGGGTTGTACCATTTAGTATTCGCATCAACAGTGTGTCAGAACAGCAAGTTACCTACATCCTTGTCATTAGAATATGTTGTCAAACTTTTGTATTTTTGCTAATCTTGTTGGTGAAAAGAAATGGTATCTGGTCTAGTTTTAATTAGCATTTCTCTTGTTATGAAAATGGATGCTCTTTACATCTTTAACTGCTGCTTTTTCCCTGACACTTTTTTTTCTCTGCTACTTTAGTTTGGTTGTATCATAAACTAGCCTCTTTTATATTCTTACATTTCCTTGGAATCAGGCACAGTTGTAGACTTGATTTCTTTTAGGTAAGACCCATCTGCTTGTGGCATTGGAATGCATATAGTGCACTAGTCCTATGTATCTATTGCTGTTGCATCTATGTTATTATTTTATAAATTACTATAAACTTTGCTGTGTCACCTTGTGAAATTCTTATTCTGTCAACTGAATAGAAACTAATTGAATTTCTTTTCACTTAAATTAGAAAGCAGGTCTCATGGATAGAATACTTTTTTATGTTGGTTGTTCTGATCATAAATTTGTTCACTTTTGAGGGATAGTGCTGTATCTGTCATTTTAAGTCAGTCGTCAGTCATCAGTGATGTGGTGTATTAAAAAATACAACCTACAAATATAAATTATGTTTTGGTTATTTGTTCCGTAAATAAGACACACACTGATATCAAGCAAAAACATTTAAAAATATATATGTTTAACATATACAAAACTGTACAAAAGTAAAGCTGATTATTTCTTCCTACCTTCTCTTTTAAATCTCAACCCTTCGGGAGAAACCATTGTAAATAGGCTTTGTTGTTTCATATGAATACATATAAAAATTATATAAATGGATTTTGTTTCTATTTGTCTTTCCTGAAATAAAACTTTACTATATATAATGCTGTGCAGTTTGCTTTCCCTCCCCTTCTGTTTTTTCCAAGAGGCAGGGCATGTGGGATCTTAGTTCCCTGAGCACAGATTGAACTGCCACCTGCATTGGAAGCAAGGAGTTTTAACCACTGGATCACCAAGGAAGTCCATGTTTCCTTTTTAAAATAATTGTAATATAGGTGGGGTGCAGTATTGTGTTAGTTTCACATGTGTGTTTGTGTGTGCATGCTCAGTCGCTTAGTCATGTCCAACTCTTTGTGACCCTATGGACTGTAGCCCACCAGCTTCCTTTGTCTGTGGGATTTTCCAGATAAGAATACCGGAGTGGGTTGCCATTTCCTCCTCCAGGGGATCTTTCTGTCCCAGAGATTGAACCCACATCTCCTGTGTCTCCTGCATTGGCAGGCAGATTCTTTACCACTGAGCCACCTGGGAAGCTCAGTTTTAGGTGTAGTACTTAGTAATTTGGTATTTGCATACATTATGAAATGATCATAATGCTACCCAAATGAGATGATCAGTGTCCATATAAGCAATAATTGATCATATTGATATTATATACCATTGATATGATGTTGATGAGAATGGTACTTTACCTTAGTGGTCCTCCTCACTTATAACCATAACCTCAGACTAATGTTGAGAAAAGTATCAGACAAGTTACAGCTGAGGATTGTTATACAGAATACCTGATGAGTACTCCTCAAAACTTTTAAGGTCATCAAAAACAACAGTTTCTTGAGAAACTGCCACAGCTAAGAGTAACCTAAGGAGACGTGACAACTAAATGTAATACTGTTTTGGATGGGATCCTCAAAAAAAAACCAAGGACATTAGGTAGAAATAAGGAAATCTGAAGAAAATATGGACTTTAGTTAATTTATATCAGTATTATATCAATAAAATTTCTCAGTAATATATCAATATTAGTTCATTGTGACAGTCATATCATGCTAACGTAAGATTTAAGGGGAAACTGGGTGTGAGGTTTATGAGAACTCTTTGTAGTGACTTCAAAACTTTCCTGCAAAACTAAAATTATATTTAAATAATATATTTTTTAAAAAGAATGAGAAGTCCCTTTCTATACCAAGTTAAAAAAAAAAAAGCAGAGGAAAGCAAGAATGTTAGTAGTAAAAATGATGACCAGGTCAGGACAGTACTGTACATCTTTACCAGAATTAATGATATTGCACAGTAGGAGTTTTGCAATTGTGGCATTTGTTACAGGCTTCTTAGCAGAAAAGAGTAAGTTCCAGTAGTGTGTTTAGTTTATGAGTAGTAATTCACCTAGTAGGATCCAAGCAAATACTCAGTTGTAGTTAAAAATTAAAGTATATTATATGTTCTTAAAACCAAGGATCAATTTATGCAGTGAAGAAGATTCTCTGTACCCCTAGGCTTCAGACCATACTTTGCCCTGTGATACTTTTTTGTTGTTGTTGTTTATTTTTAATTGGAAGATAATTGCTTTACAATATTGTGTTGGTCTCTACTATACATCAACATGAATCAGCCATAGGTATACATACGTCCCCCGCCCTCTCGAACCTCCCTCCTGCCTCCCATCTCATCCTCCCACTCTGTGTTGTCACAGAGCACCTGATTTGAGTTCCCTGCGTCATACAGCAAATTCCCACTGGCCAGCTGTTTTACACATGGTAACGTGTATGTTTCCATGCTGCTCTCAGTTCATCCCACCCTCTCCTTCCCCCGCTGTGTCCACACGTCTGTTCCTTATGTCTGCATCTCCGTTGCTGTCCTGCAAATAGATTCCCTATATATGTGTTAATGGACGATATTTGTTTTTTCTTTCTGGATTACTTCACTCTGTCAACAGGCTCTAGGTTCATCCACTTCATTAGGCCTTATTCAAATGTGGTCTTTTTATGGCTGAGTAATATTCCATTGTATGTATGTACTACAAATTCTTTATGCATGAACATAGATTGTTTCCATGTTCTAGCTGCAAGGAACATTGGGGTACATGCATCTCTTTCAGTTATGGTTTTCTCAGTGTATATGCCCAGTAGTGGAATTGTTGGGCATATAGTAGTTTTATTTTTAGTTTTTTAAGGAATCTCCATACTGTTCTCCATAGTGGCTGTATCAGTTTACATTCTCACCAACAGTACAAGAGGTTTCCCTTTTCTCCAGATACTTGTGTTTTGCAGTCGTCTGTTCCCCAGCATAGGCATAATGTTTCCAAGCAAAAACATATTTCCCATGGTTCTGAGGGCACTAAATATATCATCCCTACATCATTTTCCCACTCTTTTCTTCTTTCATCCACAAAACTCCATAAACACAAAAACAAAGCATGTTCCAAGAATGATCTGATAGTTGGTTAGTTGGGACTGGCCTGAGCTGGTAGGACACCTGGGCTCTGTTCCAGGTGGGCTGTCTCCTTCTCCAGTAGGTAACCCCAGACTCATTCTCACATAAGTGGTATGATCGAGAAGGAGAGACAGAGAGATACTCAGGGAGAGATATTGAGGGAGAATATACAAGACCACTTTAAGCTTTTGATCTCTTCGTTGGCTTATTTAAAACTTTCATTAATTTTGTGCATTATTCAAAGTTCTATTTTAGGTTTCACCCCTTTTCCTCTCAGTCTTAGTAAATATCTGATGTATGTTTATCTGCATGAAATCTTATTAAAACATATATAAACTTGACATCTTTCTTTTTCTATTTCTGTCCTTTTTTTAACATATTTATTTAGATATGCCTCCATCTTTTAAACATGTCATAAATCATTTCTGCTTCTTTGATCTTCCCAGTCCCCTCTGTTCCTTTCTTTTGCCACTATGGATGATTCTATGAATTTTTATCTGAAATGGTTATTGACTCAGTATTTTATTTCTTGCTGTTAATGACATATCACCAAAGGATTGCTGTTATTTTATTTTTGATTATAACTTTGCTTTATTATATATAGAAATGTTTATCCTACATAAGTACATATTGATAATTATTATCACTAAGATGTAATTACTACAATTAAAAGAAAAAAGAAAAAGTTTTTCCCCTTTTATCTCCTAGTAAATATTGCCATTTCTTTCCAAGAGCTGCCATGTTATTATAAATTTTCCTTCTGAAGTGCTTCAAAGAAAATTAAAGCAAATGACCTCCCCCTTATTTCCTTAAATTATAATATTAAAACATTATTTCTAGATACAAATACCTTTGCATCTGTGTTTTTAGTTTTAATTTCATGTATGATACAACATTAGAAGAATTCTTGTTGTTTTAGTCGCTAAGCCACATCCAGCTCTTTGTGACCCCATGGACTGTAGCACACCATGAGATTTCCCAGTCAAGAATACTGGAGTAGGTTACCATTTCCTCTTCAAGGGGATCTTCCCATCCCAGAAATCAGAAGTCTTTCATAGCATCCATTCTTTGTAATTTTGTCTTTTATGAGATAACATTTTATTTTAGTGAGATAATTTTCCCATAGTTTTATTACTATATAATCTATTGATACTGAAGTTCCAAATTATTTGAGCTTGATTTTTTTCCCCATAATTTTGTTAAAGAGAGATTTTCTTTTCAGTAATTAAGAGTTGCAACTTTTTCTCCTCAGATTCTCCAGAGAGTGATATTCCTATGGAGATCACCACAGCAGAACCTCAAGTTTCTGAGGCAGTATATGATTGTGTTATTTGTGGACAGAGTGGGCCCTCCTCTGAAGACAGACCTACAGGATTGGTTGTACTGTTACAAGCATCCTCAGGTAAAAATCAAAGTAATTTTTAGTGGGAACATTTTTAGAGATGAAGTGTTTGCAACAGATTAGTAAATCTCTCAAATAAAAGCTATATTTTTGTTTAGACAAAACTGTAGATCTGTATAGCAAGGATCTTTTTAAGTTTTTTTTTTTTTTTTTTGGAAAGATTCTTAATCTGGTTTTATCTCACTTTCTTGGTGTTGAGAGAAGCCTTTAAGAGAGATCTCTCTGTATGTTACATAGTCTTTTTCTTTAGAGTGTGATGGAATCTTACCAATGCTGGGTGGCCAAAAACTGAGTTCGACTTTCTTGGCTATTTGATTGTTCTAATATCTAGAAACATTTAAGTCCAGAAATAGTTTCAATATATTAATTATATAAGACCTATTCAGGTTACTTTGCCCTTGTTTCTTGCGCGTAGAAGCAGTCACTCTTGTAACAGCCTGCCAGTTGACGTTTGCAAATCTTAGAGTTAATGTTTTTAAAAATTTGAAGAATTTGTCTGAATATTCTTTATTCTCTGCCATACTGAAGTATTTTGAGGTAGTGATAAATATTAGACTCCAGTTCCAATGAATGTAATCATTTTTCAATAAGAGTATGTGTGAAGCAAAGTAAATAAAACACATATTTCTCCAGGGCATTTTTTTCCTAGGGTATTTTCTCTGAATTAGTAGAGTAGAAAGAATTAGATACAAGAAATTCCTCTGATTTCATATACAGGACTTTCCTGGTGACTTAGATGGTAAAGCATCTGCCTGCAATGCGGAATACCTGGGTTCAATCCCTGGATCGGGAAGATCCCCTGGAGAAGAAAATGGCAACCCACTCCAGTACTCTTGCCTGGAAAATTCCATGGACTGAGGAGCGTGGTAGGCTACAGTCCATGGAGTTGCAAAGAGTCAGACACAACTGAGCAACTTCGCTTCAGTTCATTTCAATTCAGTTCAATTACTCAGTCGTGTCCGACTCTTTGCGACCCCATGGACCACAGCATGCCAGGCCTCCCTGTCCATCACCAACTGCCAGAGTTTACCAAACACATGTCCATTGAGTCGGTGATGCCATCCAACCATCTCATCCTCTGTCATCCCCTTCTCCTCCTGCCTTCAACCTTTCACAGCATCAGGGTCTTTTCAAATGAGTCAGCTCTTCGCATCAGGTAGCCAAAGGCTTGGAGTTTCAGCTTCAACATCAGTCCTTCCAATGAACACTCAGGACTGATCTTCTTTAGAATGGACTGATTGGCTCTCCTTGTAGTCCAAGGGACTCTCAAGAGTCTTCTCCAATACCACAGTTCAAAAGCATCAATTATTTGGCACTCAGCTTTCTTTATAGTCCAACTCTCACATCCATACTTGACTACTGGAAAAACCATAGGTTTGACTAGATGGACCTTTTGTTAGCAAAGTAATGTCTCTGCTTTTTAATAAGCTGTCTCGGTTGGTCATAACTTTTCTCTCAAGGAGTAAGCGTCTTTTATAAAAATTTCATGGCTGCAGTCACCATCTGCAGTGATTTTGGAGCCCAAAAAAATAAAGTCTGTCACTGTTTCCCCAGCTATTGGCCATGAAGTGATGGGACCGGATACCATGATCTTTGTTTTCTGAATGATGAGCTTTAAGCCAACTTTTTCACTCTCCTCTTTTACTTGTATCAAGAGGCTTTTTAGTTCTTCTTCACTTTCTGCCATAAGGGTGGTGTCATCTGCATATCTGAGGTTATTGATATTTTTCCTGGCAATCTTGATCCCAGCTTGTGCTTCATCCAGCCCAGCATTTCTCATGATGTACTCTGCATATAAGTTAAATAAGCAGGGTGACAATATATAGCCTTGATGTACTCCTTTTCCTATTTGGAACCAGTCTGCTGTTCCATGTCCAGTTCTAGCTGTTGCTTCCTGATCTGCATACAGATTTCTCAAGAGGCAGGTCAGGTAGTCTGGTATTCCCATCTTTTTCAGAATTTTCCACAGTTTGTTGTAATCCAAACAGTCAAAGTCTTTGGCATAGTCAATAAAGCAGAAATAGATGTTTTTCTAGACCATTCAGGTATGACCTAAATCAAATTCCTTACAATTATACAGCGGAAGTGAGAAATAGATCTAAGGGACTAGATGTGATAGACAGAGTGCCTGATGAACGGTGGACAGAGGTTTGTGACATTGTACAGGAGACAGGGATCAAGACCATCCCCAAGAAAAAGAAAGGCAAAAAAGCCAAATGACTGTCTGAGGAGGCCTTACAAATAGCTGTGAAAAGACGAGAAGCCAAATCAAAGGAGAAAAGGAAAGATATACCCATTTGAATGCAGAGTTCCAAAGAATAGCAAGGAGAGTTAAGAAGGCCTTCCTCAGTGATCAGTGCAAAGAAATAAAGGAAAACAATAGAATAGGAAAGACTAGAGATCTCTTCAAGAAAATTAGAGATACCAAGGGAATATTTCATGCAAAGATGGGCTCAATAAAGGACAGAAATGGTATGGACCTAACAGGAGCAGAGGAGATTAAGAAGAGGTGGCAAGAATACACAGAAAAACTGTACAAAACAGATCTTCACAACCCAGATAATCACAATGGTGTGATCACTCACCTAGAGCCAGACATCGTGGAATGTGAAGTCAAGTGGGCCTCACTACAAACAAAACTAGTGAATTCCAGTTGAGCTGTTTCAAATCCTAGAAGATGATGCTGTGAAAGTGCTGCACTCAGTATGCTGGCAAATTTGGAAAACTCAGCAGTGGCCACAGGACTGGAAAAGGTCAGTTTTCATTCCAGTCCCAAAGAAAGGCAATGCCAAAGAATGCTCAAACTACCGCACAGTTGCACTCGTCTCACGTGCTAGCAAAGTAGTGCTCAAAATTCTCCAAACCAGGCTTCAGCAATACATGAACTGTGAACTTCCATATGTTCAAGCTGGTTTTAGAAAAGGCAGAGGAACCAGAGATCAAATTGCCAACATCCGCTGGATCATCAAAAAAGCAAGAGAGTTCCAGAAAAACATCTACTGCTTGACTTAATCTGGCCAAGTTTATTGCTTTCTTTTAAATACAGAGATAATAGTGATTTTTGAGGATTGTCATGTTGGTTAAGTAATGTAATATAGGAAAAAGGGTCTAGTGTGATGCCTGGTAGATTAGTGTTTTTGTCTTATTACTCTTGTTTAAATATGAAATTGATCTTTGAAACCCTCACTGAATAGGACAATAGAGCCGTCTAGATGAGAAATGCCTACTATAATTAAAAGGAAATGTGTTGGAGTACTGACTAATTTCACAGCTGCTTATCTTTTTCTAGTGTTTTAAAGAATTCAGTTTATTAGATTGTTGCCACTTACTTGTCCCTCTATAACTTCTTCACTGAATACTGTATAATCATCAACTTAATATTTTCTTTTATTCATTCATTCATGTCACATGTATTTATTGATCATTGCTATTACAATAAGAAGCAAAACAAAATAATATCTCTGCCCCAGTGAAGCTTCTGTTATTATTTTGGACTGTTATTTGTTCATTGGTTTATATTTTTAAAGTTGCTTTGACTTGTTACTTCATTTAATTCCCTTTTAGCAATTTTTTACACTAAACTAGTTAATATTAGATAATTCTACTGTTCCACAGCTCTTTTGTCATTTCAAGATATGAGGGAAAATATAAGAAACTAGCATTAAAAGCTATTAAATCTCAAGAGTTATTTTAACTGGGAATTGTAACAGGGAAAATCTCTGGCTGTTTCCTTTCTTTCTGAGCCTCACCACCCTCTGACATCCTCTTACCTTTTACCCCTCTTTACTTTTTCCTTACTTCTGAATTCTTTATTTATTTTGATTTGTCTCTTCTCTTTTTCTTTTATCTTTGAATATGGAAAATTTTAACTATGTGGTGATGTAAAGAGACTAGTAAAATGTACCTCCATGTCCCCATCAATTTCTAATGTCCCCATCAATCTCTAACAGTGATTAACTTGTGACTAATTTTTCCTCTTAGAATTATTTGGAAGCAGATTCCAGACATCATTTTATTTCATCTATAAATATTTCACCATATCTGCTGAATAGAAAAGACTTATTTTTTTAAAGACTTATTTTTTAAAACCACAATCACTCCTGAGTAACTTAGTTCCTCAATATCATCAAATATCTAGTCAGAGTTCAGAATTCTCCAATTATTTCTTATTTATTTTATTTTATTTATTTATAGTTGTAGAGACTCCTTATAGTCTTTTAATTAATAGAATCCCTTCTTATCTTTTCCTGTGCCTATCATCGCCCCCACCCCAAATGCACTTTGCTATTTGAAGAAATTGGGTCATTGAACATTTTTTGATTAGTGTCTGTGATTGAAGGATGGTTGATTTACAATGTTATGTTAATTTCAGCTGTACAGCAAAATGGTTCAGTTATACACACACACACACATATACACACACAGATTCTTTTTTAAAAATATTCTTTCTGTTACGATTTATCATGGGATATTGAATATATAGTTCTTTGTACTAATACAGTAGGACCTTGTTGTTTATCCATTCTATGTATAAAAGCTCGTATCTGCTAACCCCAGCCTCCCACTGCAACCCTCCTTCAACTCTCTCTCCCTTGGCAGCCACCAGTCTGTTCTGTTTCTCTTTCATAGATAGGTTCATTTGTGTCATATTTTCGATTCTACATGTAAGTAATATCATATGGTATTTTTCTTTGTCTTTCTGACGTGCTTTACTTAGTATAATAATCTCTGATTGCATCCATGTTGCTGTAAATGGCATTATTTTGTTCTTTTTTATGACTGAGTAGTATTCCTTTGTACATATGTACCACATCTTATTATCCATTCATTTGTCGATGATCATGTAGGTTGCTCCTACATCTTGGCTATTGTGAATACTGCTACTATGAACATAGGGGTGCATGTATCTTTTTGAATTATAATTTTGTCTGGATATATGCCCAGGAATGGGATTGCTGAATCATATTGTAATTCCACTTTTAGTTTTCTGAGGACCTTCATAATGTTTTCCACAGTGATTATAGCAGTATAACTATACTATATATAGCAGTATACCAGTAACTATATATAGCACTATACCACCAACCTTGTAGGAGAGTTCCCTTTTCTCCACACCCTTTCCAGCATTTGTTGTTTGTAGACTTTTTAATGATGGCCATTCTGACTGGTTTGAGATGGTACCTCACTGCAGTTTTGATTTGCATTTCTCTAATAGTTAGGGATCTTGAGCATCTTTTCATGTGCCTGCTGGCCATTTGCATGTCTTTGAATAAATGTCTATTTTGGTCTTCTGCCATTTAAAGAATTAAGACTGTTTCTCCTTAGATTTGTCCAAAAGGAAGAAAAAATGAAAAGAGAGAAGGGAACACTTCTTAACTCATTCTCTGAGGTCAGCACTATGTTGATACCAAAGCCAGATAAGGACATCAAAAGAAAAGAAAATGATAGACAAGTATCACTTATGAATAGAGATGTAAAAGCCCTTAACAAAATCCTAGCTAACCAAGTTCGGCAGTTTATTAAGAGGATTATACATCATGGCTAATTATATTTTAGTTTCTAGCATCTACTTGCTTTTGTCTATTCTTTCTGCTGCTGCTGCTTTTATAAATCTCCCCAGAAACTTGGGGCTCACAGCTCTGTGCCCGATTTCCCTTCTCTGAGAATGACTTATTGAGTCTTAGAGTAGTGTGTGGCACTGTATGCTTATACCCCCACTTCCTTTTTGTGTGGTATGTGTTTTACGATGATAAAAATACCTCTTTTCCCAACTTTTCATTTCAACCAACTTTTACATCTACAGAAAAGTTGAAAACCCTTCACCTATACTCAATGATTGCTAGCATATTTCCATATTTATGTTTTCTTTCCCATACTTATCTATACACAGACGCATACACACTTGTCATAGGTAGACATCTTGGACATTTTTATCCCTAAATACTTTAGCATGTATCACCTAAGAATAAAGATACTCTTTTATACAATCTTAGTACCAATCATACTGAATAAATTTAATATGAATAAAATAAAATCTTCTGTGTTCAGAGTCTCCCAATAATATTTTATATACCAGATATATATTTTTCTTGTTCCAAGAGCCAAGTAAAGATCATGCGTTGCAGTTAGTTGTCATTTCTTGTTAGTCTCCTTTAATCCAAAACAGCTTCTCCAGGCATTAAAAAAAATTTTGAAAAGTTCAAGTCTGTTCTATAGACTGTCTATTTTCTGGATTTATGTGATTGTTTCCCTGTTATTGGGCTTCCCTGGTGGCTTGAATGGTAAAGAATCTGCCTACAGTGTGGGAGACCTGGGTTCAATCCTTGGGTTGGGGAGATCCCCTGGAGAAGGGAACAGCTATCATCCACTCCAGTACTCTGGCCTGGAGAATTCCATGGACATTATAGTCCATGGGGTTGCAAAGAGTCAGACATGACTGACTTTTTTCATGAAAGTCAGAGTGACTTTCACTTTTGCTTTCCCTGTTACTAAAGTTAAACATTTTTGGCAATGGTAGTATTATGATGCCGTTCCTTCCCATTGCATCACATCAAGAGACTCATAGTGATGTTCCATTATTGGTGATGTTAACCAAGTTTAATCACTTGGTTGGTTTTCTGTAGGATGATACTTTGAGAGTCTAACATTATACCCTTTTACTTCATGTTCCCTGCTTGAATCAGTGAACGTGTTATCTGTTATTGTCATTATTCTTGAATTTGACTAGTCAGAATTCCTTTAGGTCTCCACTCAGAGCTTGAATACCTCTTTGCTCTTTATTCCACACAATTCCAGGCTCACTTTGCCCTTCTCGCCTCACTTTGCCCTTCTCGCCAACCCTGATGTTATTTTAAAAAATAAACATTCACATATTAAAAGTTTATTTGCTCTGTAGAAGAAAATAAAGATATCACTTTTTTAAGTCTTTAAAAATATTGTAATAGTGAAAAAATTAAGAAGCTTATGGTAAATAACTTCACTTTTCTTGGTGAATAAAGTCCACATGTTAGTTTTTTTAATGGGCTCTTATCTCTGTTGTTAATATAGTTTTGGGGCAGTGCCGTGACAACGTTGAGCCAAAAAAGCTGCCTATCTCTGAAGAGGAGCAAATATACCCCTGGGATACATGTGCAGCAGTTCATGATGTGAGACTTTCATTATTACAACGTTATTTTAAGGATGTAAGTATTCTTTTTATTAAATAGCATTTTGTCTATAAAATTGATGGATATTTCTCTCCAAAGTTTTATATTTTTCTTCAACCAAGTATCTTTCTGACTTGGAATTTGGAAGGTTATTAGAAAAAAATTAGTATGTGGATGGTAATAAATAGAAATCAGTTAACACATAAAAATTTAAATGTTTATTATAAGATATACAAATTCATTTCAGTGGAATGATAAGTTTATATTATCATTTTATATACTTTTATATATTATCTTATATACTTTATAAAAACTTTTAGATGTGGCACTTAACATTTTATGAAGATTTTTGCTTCTGTCTTTTTCATTTAAAGATACACAATAAAGTTTCATAATGCTTTTGATATGTAAAGTAGGGGCAGATTTATCATGGCTTCTATGATTTCTTGTTGTGAACTTGGTAGATTTTTTCCCTGACTCTTTGTACTTTGTGGCTCTAGCTCTCAGGTATTCATAAGACTTAGATCAACTCAGTTTATTTAGTAGCAGCAACATTGTTAACTTCTTTGTAAAATTTTGATACTGTTTTTTAAATTTCCTGAGGGGTTATCAAATGGGGATTTCTTTCACCTGTTGTTGTTTGATTCTGCTGTATTTTGAGTTAAGTAACATCTGTTAATAATGTAAAATGCTTAGAATATAAAATGATGCATTATTTTTAGTTATATATATACACATATATATATAAATGTATATTAGTTGATTTCTAAATATAATTTCTAAATGTACATAATGTACTAATTTAAATGGAAGCAGCTAGTAGGATATATGGCAGACAGAATACTTATATAGAATATATATACTGATCTAATATATAATATATACACTGATCTAATGTGATAAGAATCAGAGTAGAGTGTGGTTCAGTAGTCTGGATTAAGGATGATTCCTCTGGATTCTGGAGGAGATGGTAACTCTAGATAGTGAGGTAGCTCTAGATAGGTAATTCTAGATAGATAGTGTAGAGTAGAAAGAGTTTCAGATGAGGAAAACTGGGGTTTCCTTCTGATTCTGCCATTTCTTAGCAATGTGAGCTTGACAAACTCTCTAAGTCTCAGTTACCTCACCTGTAAAATAGGGCTCATAATGGTCTTTCATGCAGTAACCCAAAAGATCATTTTACATGTTATAAAGGTCAGTATAAATGTAAAGTGGTATTTTTAATTTTCAAGTTACCTCTTTAGGAGGGCTCGTTAGGCCTTATTAAGCAGTTTGGGTTAGGTAATGAGGATAATGCTTCCATATATTTTCAGAGGCTTTAAAATGAAATCATTATTTGGAAATAAGAAGTCTTTATGTTTGTATATATACATGCATGCGTATATGTATACGCAGACACACTTTCACTCTTTTTCTTTATTGTTTCTTCAGGTTTTCTGCAGCATGTGTATATATGTATATAGCTTTACTAATTGGAGACCAATTAATATCTTCATTTTGGAGACAATTGTGCTGAATTCTACTTTTGCAGAAATTGACTGCCAGCTTTATTTAGTTTTTTTTTTTTTTCCTGATGTAATCCTGGTTTTAATGTCAGCATTTTGAATCACTTTAGAGTAAATGAGTAAAGATGAATCCTAAGGCCAAATGGAAAATAAAAATAACTTAGTCAGTCAATATGCAACTCAGACCTAAGGACATAATAATTTGAGGGAAGGAGAGATCTAATAAAGGAGAGAAAAAGTAGCGTATCTCTTCTTGCAGTCAGACTAGCAATTCATTTCTAAGAAAAAAAAACAAAAAACTTTTTTTTTAAAGAAAGCTCTGAACTGATACTTGAACTGGACTGAATCTGTTCTGTTTTTGTGAGTTACTGTGAGGTTTTATTTCTACATAAGTACTTTGTGTACTTCATAATAGCTATTTTACTTATAAATAGTGCGCTCACTGGACCTCTGGAGGTTTAGGGCTATTTTTTCTATTGGCTTTATAGTCCCTTCAGGGCTTCCCAGGTGGTTCAGTGATAAAGAATCCTGTCAATGCAGGAGATGTGGGTTTGATCCCTGGGTCAGAAAGATCCTGTGGAGAATGAAATGGCAACCCACTCCAGTATTCTTGCCTGGGAAATCCCATAGACAGAGAAGCCTGGAGGGCTACAGTCCATGGGGTCGCAAGAGAATCATATGTGATTTAGTGATTAAACAACAACAGGCATGAAGGTGTGGAAGTTGCTCAGTCGTGTCCAACTCTTTGTGACCCCATGGACTGTGTAGCCCGCCAAGCTCCTCTGTCCGTGGAATTCTCCAGGCAGGAAAAGCTGGAGTGGGTTGCCATTCCCTTCTCCAGGGCATCTGACACATGCTTGGGTATTGTGGATGCTTACTGGATTTCAGTTTTGTAGCCAGACCACGTAGAGCAGAAGAGTTGTTATCAGTAGACACTGTTACTGATTATAGAATTAAATTGCATAAATTCTGCTCTCTTCATATCAAATGCATGCTTTTTATAAAGTTGGCCTGTAGAATTTCAGTCATAGAAGATAGTGTGTTTACTAGTGAAATTGTAAGTGTTATATATGAGAGCTATGACACTCATATATAAATAGGGAAGGATGGAACCTGAGCTTTGGAGTCAGATCTGGATTGAACTTGGGCTTTACCACTTTTAACTGAGAGCTCTTGGTCAGCTTTCTGTCCCTTTTTATTAAAAGAAATAAGACCGCTTACTGCATAAAGTTTTAATAAATATTGAGGTGAAGGTTCAGTGTTAAATAGTACAGAAATGGGCACATTGTTGAATGTAGGTCTTTCTGAAATGTAGGTCTCATATTAGTAAATGATCTCTTGCTTTTTTTGACTCTAGCAAATTAAAAAAAGACATCTAACAGTTACATAGACAAATGACATACTATTTTCATTTTTAAAACAGCTTATGTATTAAAAGGAAAGATTAATTACATTTTATAGTACATTGTCAAAGAGAATAGCTTGTTTATTAGCTGCCTACCAATCATTCTAAAATGATCTAATACCCACATCTGCTTCTACTTAAAGTGGCTCCAAAACATAAAACAGAGATGAGCAGGTCTCCTGTTGTTTTTCTGATGTGTAACAGTAGAAACCAGCTCACCTGCTGTGAGAATTTGATTTATGCTGTTGCACATCTTTGAATCAGCTAGAAAGGCATTTTATACTGTGTAATGCCTTTAACTTTCAGATGCTCACGAAGAGTCTTGATTTAATATTAGAATTTTGTTTACTGTTATTTAAAGATGGTTTGATCATCTAATAGGCTATTTTCCAACATAAAAGTAAAATTTAATAGTTTGCTCTGTTTTGATGGCTCTCAAATTTTTCATTGTGTGCTGTCACTCATGTTAGACCTCATACCTAATGTTGCCCTGATTTGGCCATCTATTTGCTGTAGACTCTAGAGGGCTTCCCTGGTGGCTCAGATGGTGAAAAATCAACCTGCAATCCTTGGGTCAGGAAAATCCCCTGGAAAAGGGAATGGCTACCCACTCTAGTATTCTGGCCTGGAGAATTCCATGGGTAGAGGAGCCTGGCAGTCTACAGTCCATGGGGTCGCAGAGTTGGACACGACTGAATGACTTTCACTTTCACTAGAGGGTAAACTCAAGGTCAGGCTGAAATGCTGTTTGGCAGAGGCCAAATAAAAATTTAAAGAAACTTATTTTTAGGAGGAAAAGTCTAGACTGTTTATTAGGTTAAAGGGAAGGAATTAACAGAGAAGAAATTTAAAGAGAAAGAGAAGATGAAAGCAATTAACTTTTAAAACGCATTTCCAAAGAGTATGTAGTTTGCTTATATAATCTGGGTTCCTTTTTGTATTGTTTGTTATATAAGACCCATATAAATGTTTAGGCACTTTTTTAATTCTCATGAGCAGATTTGTACTTTAGAAAGATGTGTGCAGGATGCATCATAGAGACCACTTAAGAAAATTTATTTAAGAACTCTTTCCCCCACAACGGGTCACACAGGCTTGACTGTTACAGTGGGAATAAAGACAGAGAGGCCAAAATCATGAATTATATAGGAGACAGATTTCATATAGTTTGGGAACTAATTCTGTGGTGTGAAGAAAAGGGTGTGATGTGAATAACTTTTAGCTTTCTGATTTGGTGGCTAAACAGATGTAGAGTTTTTAAGCCAAGAGGAAGAGAAAGATTCATAGAGAAAATGAACATTTTTGACACATTGGTTTTATTTTATCTGAGGGACCTCAAATTGAAGATTTCTGGTTGCCAACTGAGTACTTGTATCTGGCATGCAGGCAAGAGACCCAACTTGGGGGATAGTTGAATATACTGATTAAGTTCACTCAGAATAGTTTTAATAAGAGAAAAGCATTAAGAATTGAACCTTGAGGAATTTAAATATTGAAGGGGTAGATGAAGGAAAAAAAAGTCTTAAAAGGAGGCTTAAACCAAATGGTTAAAGAGACAGGAGAGAAACCGAAAGAGAGTGGCATTAAGGAAACAAGAGGGAAGTAGGCATTTGAAGAAGGCAGATGTTAAGGTTAGATGTCACAGAGAAATCCAGTACCATGTAGAACAGGTAAAATAATCAGTAACAGTATACTTTATTATATTTTATGAGGTAGAGAAAGGCTAATTCACAATTTTTCTCTTTTATTACAAGTATAATTATTTGGAAGCTAAAACTATCTTCCAGATTTAAAGATATTGCCTCAGGATTGTCAAGTCAGGTGTTCCTTTATATCACAGAAATACAAAGCCCACATTAGTATAACAATATGATTGAGAGGTTTATGTAGATTTGTTTAGGTATGTTTCTGCTTCTTTAAAATTAATTATATTTTGTTCTTTTTTTTTTTTTTTAAGAGTTCTTGTCTCTTGGCAGTATCAATTGGCTGGGAAGGAGGTGTTTATGTACAAACCTGTGGCCACACATTACATATCGATTGCCATAAATCTTATATGGAATCATTACGGGTAAGTTGATTGAAACATGTTAAATAAAGATGTTTGTGTCTTTCAAGGTATTAAATATTTTTTACAGCTAATACATCCTAATTCATCTTGGGTGATTATGATTGCCATTTGAACTATTCAGCTTCACAGTTCCTTGACCTCTTCAACTTTAGGGATTTCATTTTTTTACTTCACATTGGCAACTGAATTCCATGACTGTAATTTTAGATTTTGCTACTTTAGCTCTAAAGTAGTAAGCTTTAATATCATACCATACCATTATGGTAGAGCACTTGTCAAAGTCTCTATCTTTACTCTTATTAGTGTGTTTTGCTTCTGACCTCAACATCTCTAGTCCTTTGTTGTTCAGCTGCTAAGCTGGGTCCAACTCTTTGCGACCCCATGGACTGCAGCCTGCCCAGTCCTTCCCTGTCCTTCACTGTCTCCCGGAGTTTGTCCTTCCCTCCTTCCCTGTCCTTCACCATCTCCCGGAGTTTGCTCAGATTCATGTCCACTGAGTTGGTGTTACTATTTAACCACCTCATCCTCTGCTGCTCTCTTCTCCTTATACTTTCAGTCTTTCCCAGCATCAGGGTCTTTTCCAGTGAGGGGGTCTCCTCACATCAGGTGGCCAAAATACTGGAGCTTCAGCTTCAGCATCAGTCCTTCCAATGAATATTCAGAGTTGACTTGCTTTAGGATTGAGTTGGTTTGATCTCTTTGCAGTCCAAGGGACTCGCAAGAGTCTTCTCCAGTACCACAGTTTGAAAGCATCTATTCTTTTTGCCCCTTGCATTTGCCTAGTACACTAGCACTTTCCTCACCTCATTTTCTTGTACTATTTGCATTGTGCTCTTAATACTAGTCATTTAATCCACCTCCTTTGACTTCATACCCAGGAAGCTGGCACTGTTAGAAAAATTGTAAAACTAAGCAGACTAGTACACATCTGTGATTTCTTAAAATAGAGGCTAAATTGGGATCATGGACTGTGGATATTACTTATCAATTCATTTGCCTGTCTTTGATCAGTTCCCTCTCCTAGTCTCCTTAGCAACTGTTTCAAACCTTTGCCTCCTCTATCCCAGACTCTGCCTAAATCCCTGGATGCCTTTCCCCTCATCAGAGTCTGTTTCTTCCTAACTTGAGAATTTTTAAAATGATAGATCATGGTGTGTGGTAGGATAGGAAAGGCCATATAAACTGAGGGAAAAGGGAGGGACTAGAAGAGATAGGAGTTGACAGTCAAAATGTGAGGTGTTTGAATTTAATATTTTCTCATATGGACAGTTCTCTGTCCTTACAGGACAAGGGTGTGTCATGGTAACAGGTGCTAAGAGAGAGTAGGGGTCAAGGCCACTGGAGTTGCTGACATCAGGTCGCTGATGAGGCCGTGTAACTGTGTGAGACTGGCTGTCTGCAGGCACATGAAATTGTGTAAGAGGATGGCCAGAGTTGGACTGATGGAGAACACGAGTCTAGTTACTGAAGTCTTCGCATATTAAGGGCAGTGAATGACAGTAGAAAGGAAGGAAAAGGGGTGATCCCTTTAAATGACCTGAGCCACACAGGGAATCCAGAACATGGAACTTGAGCCTGCACTGGAGGTGAGAAGGATACTGATGTTTGAGGGATGTGAGACAATGAGCAGTGCCTTTTTGAGAGGGCTTCTGGGGGTGCTTTAGGAAGGAACCTAGTTTCACTCGAGACTAGGATGAAGACCTAGCAGTTTTAAAAATTATAGCTACAGAGAAGCTTATCAAAGAATGTCCTTCAATTACTAGTACTCTTGTTCCAAGCCTTTTAGTAACTCTTCTTGTATATCTTTAAAACTTATTTCACACGTCTTCTCCTCTGGGAAGTCTTGTTTGTTTGATTTATCACACTGTTGTTTCTATTTGCTTTTAAATTGTCAGTACCTTAAATGAAGATATCTCTTAACTCTTTTTGCAGTGACATGGTACAGCATTTGACACATGATAGGAGTTTAGTGTGTGTTTCTAGAATTGGATTTAAGAAGACATGGTGTTAGATTTTTAAGGTCTTGAGGAAATGAATGTCACAAAGTAAAAAAGGTGGAATTCAGTTCTTTGGCCAAAGTATTTGAGATCCAAGATACAGTGAAATGAATAATAAGTTAAAGAGTTGGGAAACCTAAGTTCATTTGGACATTGTCATTAACTATCTTTGTGAAAGTCTTTCAGTTGTGTCCAACTCATTGCGACCGCGTGGACTATACAGTCGTGGATTCTCCAGGCCAGAATACTAGAGTGGGTAGCCTATCCCTTCTCCAGGTGTTCTTCCCAACCCAGGAATCAAACTGGGATTTCCTGCATTGCAGGCGGATTCTTTTACCAGCTGAGCTACCAGGGAAGCCCAAATATCTTTGTAACTGTGGGCAAATAAATTCATTTTTTTCTTTTTTGTGTCTATTTTTCTCATTATTTTTGTCTTGTTAGTAATAATGTTTACATTTTAGCATTCATGTATTTTTTTTAGTACATTAAAAACATTTCGAGATTAAATCGTTAGGTTAGTGGCAAAACAAGAGAGACTCCTGGGAAAGAGAGTAAGACTGTGGTTAGCACTACGCGAAAGCAATGGCCTAAAAGAACAGAACAGATGAGGGTGGTGTCAGGCAAGAGAAGGGAACAAATGTAGCAGCCTCGATTACTTCCTTCAATTCTGGTTGGCTAGCGTATGTTGTAATCTCTCATGAGCAAGAGTTTCCTCCTGGGCATATTTGCATTGTGTATCCTTGTTTCAACTAGTTTTCCTTCCCCCTCCTATCAGAAACATCTGAAGGGATGCTGAATTAATTCCCCTCCTTATCACTTTTCTGAGTATTCTAACTAAATCTTTTTCCTACCTGTTAAACCTAAATAAACCTAATGCATCAGCTCCAGTCAGTTTTGTTCAACTGTTAGACACATTAGAAGATATATCACATTTTTTTTTTTAGATTTCAGTCAGTTCAGTCGCTCAGTCCTATCCAACTCTTTGAAACCCCATGGAATGCAGCACACCTGGCTTCCCTGTCCATCACCAACTCCTGAAGCCTGCTCAAGCTCATGTCTATCAAGTCGGTGATGCCATCCAACCATCTCACCCTCTGTCGTCCCCTTCTCCTCCCGCCTTCAGTCTTTCCCAGCTTCAGGGTCTTTTCAAATGAGTCAGTTCTTTGCATCAGGTGGCCTAAGTACTGGAGCTTCAGCTTCAGCATCAGTCCTTCCAATGAATATTCAGGACTGATTTCCTTTAGGATGTGCTGGTTGAATCTCCTTGCAGTTCAAGGGACTCTCAAGAGTCTTCTTCAACACCACAGTTCAGAAGCATCAATTCTTCGGCACTCAGTCTTCCTTATGGTCCAACTTTCACTTCCATACATGACTACTGGGAAAACAATAGGTTTGACTAGATGGCAGAGTAATATCTCTGCTTTTTAATATGCTGTCTAGGTTGGTCATAGCTTTTCTTCCAAGGAGCAGGCATCTTTTAATTTCATGGCTGCAGTCACCATCTGCAGTGATTTTGGAGTCCAAAAAATAAAGTCTTGTCACTGTTTCCATTGTTTCCCCATCTATTTGCCATGAAGTGATGTGACCAGATGCCATGATCTTAGTTTTCTAAATGTTAAGCTTTAAACCAACTTTTTCACTCTCCTCTTTCACTTTCATCAAGAGGCTTTTTAGTTCTTCACTTTCTGCCATTAGGGTGGTGTCATCTGCATGTCTGAGGTTATTGATATTTCTCCTGGCAGTCTTGATTCCAGCTTGTGCTTCATCCAGCCTGGTATTTTTAGACTTAAATACTCTCAAAAGCTTGTCTGTTCTGCCTCCAGTGACTTGAGCACTGGGATAATCTTTCTAATAGTCACTTATAGATGATGAAAACAGGACATGGTGTGAGTGGAAGGTGATTCACTTTAATGTGACCTGCTTTTGAGTTATTCTTTATCTTAAATTCACATTTCACATTGATTGCATCATTATTTGAATGTTTCCTCCTGAGAGAAAAGTAAGATACTTAAGCAGTTCATTGGTGATGGCAAGTGTTGCATGATTGCTGTGATTTTAAGAAGTGATTTGATAAGCTCAAGAGTTAAGTGACTTAGTTTTTATGACATGCAGTAGAGATCTTTTTTGTATGGTTTATTTATTTACTCTAAAATGTAGAGATGTTAATTTTGTTTTCTGTAAAAGTATGCATCATATAACTGTATGTTTGTTTCATCTTTTAGAATGACCAGGTTCTTCAGGGCTTCTCAGTGGACAAAGGAGAATTCACATGTCCTCTCTGTAGGCAGTTTGCTAACAGTGTTCTTCCTTGTTATCCTGGAAGCAATGTTGAAAACAACCTTTGGCAGCGTCCTAGTAACAAAAGCATACAAGATCTCATAAAGGAAGTGGAGGAGCTGCAAGGACGTCCAGGAGCTTTCCCAGTAAGCATCAGTGTAAGGCAGAAATATCCTGCTTAACTTAGCTCTGCTTTTCAGCTTTAATTTCTGTTCCGTTTCTAAGTTACTTTGGACCTTTATACATTTAGTAGAAATTGCTTTTAGAGGTTTTTCTTTTCCGTTGGTGGTTATTAAAAACAAAAATGAGAGCAGTAGAACAAATTATTGCTAAAGGCTATACTTTTCTTTAATATCAGTTTAGTTATAATTTTAGTATATGCCTTCCGGATCATGAAATTCTATAAGCTTATATATGGTTATGTTGAAATATTTAAAAATGAAGTTAAACTTTATGTATATCTTGTAATGTAAAGCACAATCTAATCTTTTAAAAATAAGCCCTTTAGGTATATTAGAATTAAGGTGATATATTTATACACACACACACACACACACACACACACACACACATACTTTGTGTATAAGTATAGATTTACACACACACTTGTGTATTAGAGGGGTCAATATTGTGTATATGATCGAAACATCTCCCATAAGTCGGTCTGTTTTACTTTGAAATTTGGTATGAGTGAACCCATTTTTTATCTCTTCCAGTAGGATTTATTTTTTTGATTTAAATTCTCAAATATTTCACTTTTATCACAGATCTATGTTGTGATACCTGAGAGAAGTGAGAGCTATGCACAGTAAATGCAGTAAATTTGTGAAACCTATGAATATCTGACTTTTTAAACAAATTCATATTTCAAAGCTACTCAGAAAGATCCATCTCCTTTTCTCAATTGAAGACTTAAGATTTGTGTCTGTGTGGTTTTTTCTTTTTTCTTTTGCAAATCCAAATTTTTATGTGTTTAAAATATGCTTAAAGTAAGGGACATTAGTGTTAGTCCTGAAAAAAAATGTGCTTAAATGAAAGATTTTTTTATAAGCATGGAAACTGTTCTATGGTTTGGTTCAGTTCAGTCACTCAATTGTGTCTGACTCTTTGCAACCCCATGAACTGCAGCACTCGAGGCCTCCTATCCTTTACCAACTCCCAGAGCTTACTCAAACTCATGTCCATTGAGTCGGTGATGCCATCCAACCATCTCATCCTCTGTTGTCCCCTTCTCCTCCCACCTTCAATCTTTCCCAGCATCAGGATCTTTTCAGATGAGTCAGTTCTTCACATCAGGTGGCCAAAATATTGGAGTTTCAGCATCAGTCCTTCCAATGAATATTCAGGACTGATTTTCTTTAGGATGTGCTGGTTGAATCTCCTTGCAGTCTAAGGGACTCTCAAGAGTCTTCTCCAATACCACAGTTCAAAAGCATCAATTCTTCAGCACTCGGCTTTTTTTTATAGTCCAACTCATATCCATACATGACTACTGGAAAAACCATAGGTTTGACTAGATGGACTTTTGTTGGCAAAGTAATGTCTCTGCTTTTTAATAAGCTGTCTAGGTTGGTCATAACTTTTCTCTCAAGGAGTAAGCATCTTTTAATTTCATGGCTGCAGTCACCATCTGCAGTGATTTTGGAGCCCCCCAAAATAAAGTCAGTCACTGTTTCCACTGTTTCCCCATCTATTTGCCATGAAGTGATGGGACTGGATGCCATGATCTTAGTTTTCTGGATGTTGAGCTTTAAGCCAACTTTTTCACTTTCCTCTTTCAGTTTCATCAAGAGACTCTTTAGTTCTTTGCTTTCTGTTCTGTGGTTGGATAACAATATAAAATTAGGATAAAATGTCTCTAAGATAAGAGAAAATATTTCTTGATCTGTTTTATTTTGGTATACTAAATATATTTTTAGCTGATAGCTAATGTATATCTGTTTTTATTTTTAAACCTTAATTTCATAGTGTGCTTAAATGATAAACACTGTAGTGTTAGACTATTATTAGAGAAAATGAACATACATAAACTTTTTATGTATGTGGTTTTTTTTACAGTCAGAAACCAACTTAAGTAAAGAAATGGAATCTGTAATGAAAGATATAAAAAATACCACTCAGAAGAAATACAGAGATTATAGCAAGACTCCAGGATCACCAGATAATGATTTTCTCTTTATGTATTCTGTTGCTAGGTAGGTATATATGGTATATACTTTTATATTTACTTAGTAATAATAGCTGATTTTATTATTTTGTCATTCATATTTATATGAAGAAAGGTTGCATATTTTTAGTGTGGTTGACATTATGGCTAGTTTTAGAACCTCCTAGGAAGTCTATAAAAGTGCAGTTTTCATTTCCTTAGGTGTTTTTATTTTAATAAAATATTGGTTTAAGTGTTATTAATCATCATAGGGTATGTGAGGAAAAGTATATTATTCACATTTTGGGACAGACGTCCACCTCAAAGCATGTTAATATTATATATGAAGTATGTTGTTAAGAAATCACTGTTCAAGTCCTGTCAAAAAGCAATAATACTAATAACTGAAGCATTATAATATGTTAAGTACTTTTAATTTCTAAAAAAAGAAGTAACAGTAAGAAGAAATTATTTTGTTTGTTTTCAGCTTATGAAATATCTAGTAATGTTCTGGAAGACTATAGGTTGTTTAGAAAGTCAGATAAAGGAGAGGAAACTCTTGTTTCCTGATCTCTTGATCAGACATATTCTAAATCTCTATGAGTAGTTACCAGAGACTCAAGGAAATGGAGGTAAATACTTCTGATCCTTCAGATTAGGGAGAAATAGTCTAATTGATCGAGTAGGTGTTCAGTACCTAAAAAGTAATTCTAAATAGGAATTTTAGAAACTTAGTTGAATGAAAATATTTTCATTTTACATTTTAAATTTTTCATAATGTAAAAAATTATTTTTTACATTAAAAAATAATAGGAGAGAAGCAAGTACAGTTAGGAACTTGTAAGCACATTCTTCTGGATCTGATATTGTCGACCCTTGAATATCTCTAGAAGCATACTTGGTATTTTGCCGAAGTAATATTGTAATAGGTAAGATTTAGAGAGGTAATATGACTTGAAGTCATGCAACAAATTAGTAACAAATCAGTTACTGTTCTTTTTGCTTTCCTTTGTTCAGCTTCTGTAAGTCATATATACATGCAGTTCATCATGGCCATTCTCTCTGCTCCATTCCTGAGTAGAGGGTAAGGAAAGAGTGAATGGTTTCTGTACTCTTTTGAACCTAGGAAAAATGGAACCAGATTTAAGAAAACTGCAGCAAGCGAGTTAGTCCTCAAGATAAGGAAACATTAGTTTTTGGTCTAAGAATGCAAATATTGGACAGGAATTGATATAAAGGGATCTAACGGTTTGGGAAGTAACTTTCTAGTCTGCCATTCTTAAGCTGTTGTTGATATTTATCCAGAATGCTTTCAGGAGAGATATAACAGTTAATCTAACATTTTGTCTCTGAAGGGTTACCAGTTGCATACTTGGAATAAAGTATACTTTATGGGAAAACTAAATTGAATGTAATTTAATTTTGCCATGTTTCAAGGTTTTATAAAACTCTTCTGTATGATGTTGTGGTAATAATGTTGTAGAAGATTGGGATGGATGTAGACTTTATGCTCTCTATATATCTATATGTGTATACATATAAACATACAGAAATATTTATGTTACTTGTGTATTCATGCCTTTGATTTTATTAGGACTGATCTTAAAAGAAAATCGTGGTTCAGTGGGAATGATCTGTATGTGGAATTTTGCCGTATTATGATAAATCAAATAATTTGAGTTAAGTTAATTTGGTAGAAATTTTGGAATTCCTTTTTCTTGGTTTTAAATATATAAAGTATTTATAGAATATATTTATATAATTTTTAATAGAAATATTTAGAAAGCTTACTGTGATAATGGGAGACTTTTGGAATCAACATATTTTTGTTTTTCTTTTTTATATAGAAGCAGGGACAGATATCAAATGCTGTTTCCTAAGGCTACATGCAGAGAAATGTAGAAAATATACTCTCCTGTCTCCTCTTCCTTCTCTGATCCTTAGTGATAAACTCTAAAGCAACAATATAGTGATTCCAAAAGTGAAAGTATATAACCTTTAAAAACTTTATCCTTTGGTTAAAATTACCCAGGACATTGTAGTGTTCTCACAGTGAGATTGCATGCCTTCTCTAAGTTTTACTTAATCATTAGAAGGAAACAGATAAAATAAAGTGACTGAAAAATTAACAGAAACATGAGCTGAAGGAACAAAGCGTGTTGTATTCTATTTGAATAAGATGTAGCTTTTTCAAGGTAGTAAACCAGATCTTTACAGTTATTGTCTGCCTAGGACATAATCTTGGCTCATTAAATACTTATGATTATAGATTATGATCATTTTTATGCCTAAAAGGTAAGCATTGAAATATTTGGCAGGTTTAAAATAGTTTAAAAAAATGTTTAGAAATAAAATTAATTTCAGTTATTTAACTTTTGAGTTAAATGTTGTGATTCTTAAATGTATAATCATTGTATACGTGTATAGTGTTAAGTGTTAGTCGCTCAGTCATGCCCGACTCTTTGTGACTGCATGGACTGCAACCCACCAGGCTTCTCTGTCCTTGAGATTTTCAAGGCAAGGATACTGGAGTGGGTTGCCATTTCCTTCTCCAGGGGATCTTCAAACCCAGGGATCGAACCCGGGTCTCCTGCATTGCAGGCAGATTCTTTACCAACTGAGCTACAAGGGAAGCCCATATAGTATATAGTGTGAATGTATTTGTTTTTGACATTTGTAGTTTGAATGAGATACTACCCTAGTTTCCCAGAACTCAATTTCTTCTATTTATATAAGTAATTTTGTTTGCTCTTTGTGGAGCTTAAAGTTTTTGATGTTTAGAAACAAAAAATATTTCTAGTAACTAGCATGTAACTAGTTACTAGCAGGTAATTAGCATGTAAAGCCTTTTAATAATTGTTTTCAAGCTTTTTTTTGGTAGGACAGTATGTTTCTCTTTGTTTTTAATTTTATTTGCATGGTGAAGCCTTGGAAGATTTTCTGAGGGCAGCAGAGAAGAAATTGTTGGAATGGTCTCTTTTTGTTGAATTGAAATTAGTCAAAATTACTGTATTCAAATTTTAGTGTATTTCTAAGAGCATTTTGTTGCAGTTATCAGTCATTCAGATGGATTATGGAAAGTTAATTTTGGGGAAGAAAGCTTTCTCCATTTCAGTGTCAATTTATTATTTCATTATTGAAACAATGAATCACACTAATTTGAGTAATTGATTTTTCTAAAGATTTTGGACCCAAAGTTATACATAGCTTAGAGTTATTAATGAGTAGTACTTAGCCTGTATATAGTGAGAAACATGGAAAGAAGGTGATATATGAGTAACTGCAATGTAGATGGAGAGATATCTTTAAGATTTGAGTGGATGTAACTGTTCAGTAGAGTGACTGCACCTTGCTTTATACATTAGTTGCATTCTAAGTTTAAACTTTATAAACTAATTATATTTGAAATAAAAAGAATGATTACTAAAACACCAAATTGTGAATGCTTTTTAATTTATTTTTAATTGGAAGCATTTTAAAAATTTTATTTTTCTTGGAGTATAGTTGCTTTGCATTGTTGTTAGTTTCTGTTATATAGCAAAGTGAATCAGCTATATGTTTACATATGTCCCCTCTCTTTTGGGTTTCCTCCCATGAATCCTTTTAAAACAAAAGGAAGGATCAACAAGATAGAGAATAAATTACAGAGACCAGAGAATCTTATCACTGGTTACATATCAAAACAAAGTGAGGGTCAGTTCCTGGGAATTTTTTGAACACTTTCCTAGGTGCCATCAGGGATTTAGGAGCTGTATTTGAAATGGCTCCTGCTCTCCAGGAATTTACAGTTTAGTTGGAGAGACAATTGTTTAAAAATATATATCATATAGAGAAGGTACTGTAGAACTTCAAAAGGGAAGATGAGCTGATTGAAATATAAAGTATGTAGAAATGCTTCCTTCCTGTTCCAAGAAAAGGGAGTTAGTTCTCCCTAACTCCTGCAGAAGTTAGAGCTTGAGCTGAGTATTCGATAATACAGGCCATGCCATGGTATGGATGAAGATGTTTTCTTCTCTGAGAAATTGAATTACTTGGTCAGCTAGTAGGGGTAGGCCCAGGCCTTGAACCCACATTATATGAGTATGTATTTCAGTGTCTCTCTGTGTGTATGTGTTTATACACACATTTATTTTTCAAATTATAGCTCCAAACATATGTTAGTGCCAAAAACGGGGTAAAAGAAAGCATGCTTGGAGAAGCAAAAAGAAATGGGAGTAGTTGGAGGAGTTTTTATACGGGTATGTCTAGGTGGCCACCATGATAGGCTCTAAGCAGGCTTTCTCATTTTTCTTTTAAATACAGAGATTTTCTCTTTTTTTCTCCCTCCCTTCCAAACTAATTTGAATGTGTTTGTGTTAGGAAATATAGAAGTTGTGTCTGCTTCTCTCCAGGAACAGAAAGGCTTGGAAAACTGCTTCCAATACATCTTTATTTTTATATCATCCATTCAGGACGTCAGAAACAGAATACTGTTTTGATTTTCAACAGTGAGGGGAGGGCAGACGTGGGCATGTGACACATTTGTGTGTCTTTTTGTCTAGCAAGACTTAAGGGGCCAATTTTGTTGTCAATTAGATGAGGAAAAGCTGATTGCTAGGGCTTCTGACATAGTGATTTTTTAAAATTCCAGATACTGTACTAACCCTTTGGATAGGTAGTTTTTGTTTTTTTAACTCAGAAGAAATGTTATACAGGAGATCTTACAACCATAATCTGAAATAACTGATTACATTTGGCAGTTTTCTTTCAAGTATCCTTTAAAAATCAAATTTCTGGTAACATGTTTATCATCCTATAAAATATCTTATTTGATGATAGAATAGACTTGTACTTATTTTTTAATGAATACTTTTGCAAATTATGCTGAAGTAAAAGTTGACATTCTGGTTCTGACTTTCATTTGTAAGAATTAATTGTGTTTCTGGTTAGCTCTGTTAAAAGTACTAACTAGGAAATCTTAGTTTTTATAAGAGAATATAGCCATTAATTTTTTTCTACAGATTAGGCAACTGAAGATTTGTGAAAACAAAATGTATTGATCTCATTTATATTCCCCTGATGAAGGAACACATGCTGGTCTCCGCTCGCTTTCTGTCCACTAATATGAAATCCTTGTCCCTGCTTCCTTGCTGGTAGGTTTTTAGAAGTTCAGTGAGCAATGCAAATCGCCTGAAGGGTGGAAAATTCCCTTGTCACACAGATGCCCTTATCAGCAGCAACCAGATGGAGCTCTGAGCAGGAACATTATCAATGTTAAATTGCTTTTTCTCCCCCCTGAGTAGAAAGGATTAAAGCATTTCTTTAGAAATGGGTGGCAAATATACAGATTTAGAAACATTAATATTTTTAACAGTTTGCATTTATAAGTAAATACATGAAAATAATGTTTCAAAACATTCTGTGTTCAAGATACAGCCAAAACCATCTCAAAATGTTTTGTTTTAAGTAAAACAGGGTACTATTCTTTCCTGAATTCACTTGTAAAGAGTAAGCTTGAAATGTTGCCTTTTTTTTTTAAGATAAAGGATATCTCACTGTTAGTGTCATATACATATCTTGGGTATAAACTTCGTTTATTCAGTTTTAGTTGTGGCAAGTAAAGGTGTGTTTAAGTTTGTTAATAATATTGAAGTAAAAATATACACACACAATCACTCAGAATTTTCATTTATTATCAAAATTAATTGGCTATTTTACTGTTACTGCTTTTGAGTAAATCTTTAGATTCTGCATCAGTTTGATTTTTGAAATGTGAATCTACTAATTATTGCTATTCTTTAAGCTAATAATTGCTAAATATATTGTAACTCCAGATCTATATGAACAATACTCTTGTTTAGCAGTGTCAATAGTTATTTATTTTAATAAAACTATAATTTTAGAAGTCTATAAAACTGCTGTTAATTATATGTGTTGTTCATATCCACTTTGATGTTAGTGATTTTGTTTCTTAATATTGGTTTCTATATGCCATCTAAGCTCCAATGAGTGATAACCATTCCTCTGATATAAAAAATTGGTATGCCCTTGTGTTTTATATGCCAGTAACCACCTAATCAGTGGCTGACTGAGTACAGATTCTTTCATCAGATTCATATGCAGGTTTTTGAAATGTGTTGCAGTTTTTTTCCTTAAGGCATAGTTTTTAGTATTTGCCAACAGCTGGGATTTTGCAACAATTACACTGTGACGTGTGCAGTTTTGTAGGTATAAATATGAACATATGAGTAAGGGCAGATAAACTGTTCCCCTTTTTTATTTCTAAGTATCAGAGAAAATATGATTGTTACTGATATTGCATAAACCATAATTTTGCAAATAAAAAAGTTACAGGATTTTATTTAGGTTAATTCAGACATGTCAGTAAAACAAAAGTATTGCTTTAACCTAATGACCGAGATGCATTTTAATGCTTTGCTTACAGAACCAACTTGGAACTTGAATTAATTCATCGAGGAGGGAATTTATGTTCAGGTGGTGCAAGTACAGCTGGTAAAAGGTCCTGTTTAAGTAAGTATTAAGCAGTGCTAACTTAAAAAAAAATTCTAATTATGTCATGAAAGCACATGTAGGCAAAGTGGTCTTTCAGTGTATTTTTAGATTCTTTTTATGTTTTGTATAATCACTTTTAATAGTGATTCTATGCTTTAACTCATTAATCTTGTACTTAGAAGAATCATGAATATTTAGCTCTTTCTATACTGTGATTACTCAGTAAGTAAATATAATTAATCAGAATTACATTGGTTCAAAATTAAAAGTGTATTATTCTCAACTATAAATTGTCCTCAAACTTAAATTCTTTTAAAGAATTTTTATGTTGTGTGGACTTAAGAAAAATTTTTTATAAAGACAATTTGTGTCGCCTATGGATTATAGCTGCTATTAATCAGTAAACAGATTTGTACTGTATTTTGATGTATACAAATATATTAAAATGGTAGATGTTTGCTCTTATTATGAATATGTTAAAATACTAGTAATTATTTAAAATTAATTGTTTTTAGAAAATATATGTATATTATTTTAGAAAGATATATATGTAATTTGGGAATTATTTCAAAGCAAAGGACTGATCAAAAATACCTTGAAATTTCTAATAAAAAGATACTAAGTTATGTGAAACTTAAACCAAGTTAATTTTGAAATTCTTACTAGTTGTATTAGATTTTTGTGTTATCACTTTGTACTTAGAAGTTTAAAATTTTAAAAATTATTGTTTACTAAGTATTTAATCTTTATTAACCCCTTGAGGTAGGCACTTAAACTCTACTTATACCCAGTGATTTAATATATTTTATAGGGGAAGCTGTTGATAAATCGGAGTACTAGCTTCTAGTCTGTTTAAGTTAGTAGAAACTATAATTTCACTTTTATTCTTTCTTGTTAATTTGTTGTTTGGTATTGGTTGATTTAATAGTTCAGAATCTGTTTTATTAGAAGGTGTTTAGTAAAGGAATTTTAGTTTTATGTTCAAAATCTACTTTTTTTCCCCTGAGGTACTTAAATTTATACAGAGGCTTGTAAATGGTGAATTTATCCAGAATGCTAAAATTAGTAGTAAAAGTCTAACAGCATCCACTTCAATTATCACTGTCAATTTTACTTTGAATTATTAAGTTGATAGTTAATTCCAGGCTTTTGTTCTTTTTATTTTCTGACTTAGTGAATATGAAATTTCAGTGTAACAGTATAGAAGCGGTCATGATGAAGCTTATCCTAAATATAAGTTAATACTGTTTTTAGTTTTCTTCTTTTCCTTATCAATTATGTTAGCTTCCCTCTCAGCTTTATTAAGATATGATTGACAAATAAAAAAATTTATGTATTTAGGTTGTACAACATGATGGTTTTGATTTTAGTTTTCATATGATTATTATTGTGCAGCTACTTATGCATTACTTATCCTATTTATTTGTAAAAGCAGCTCTGTGAATCATGTGTGCAGAAAGTTATATGTTCTATAAAATCTCACTATATTGCAGGTATATAAACTTAATGTATTTGTTATTTACTCAAGCCTAACTCAAACCTAATTTAACACAAGAACATATTGATGGTGTTTCATAGATTCCTATGAAATATTAGATCAAATATCTCATTTTTTCATCTTCCAGTAGTTCTCTGATGATATTAGTAAATAAAAATTCTCTTTTCTCTGGAGTCTGTTCATAAGTTGATATTTTTCTTTTCCCATTCATTAGTTTCTATCACCTCTTAAATATATCATTTAAAAAAGTCTTGTCTTTTTTTCATAATATTTTGGTGAAAGAGAAAATGCTCCACTAATTAAGCAAATGATAAGGAAAGTTACACTTTTGGAATAATGTTCCATCACAAATTCCTGATGAAATTGAAGTTTAGTTTAGTCAAAAAAATATTAGATAAATTTTATATGGAATGGTTTGTGTAATGCCTGATATATAATTGGGCTTCCCTGGTGTCTCAGATGGTAAAGAATCTTGCCTGCAGTGTGGGAGACCTGGGTTCAATTTGTGGGTCAGGACAATCCCCTGGAGAAGGGAATGGCTACCCACTCCAGTATTCTTGCTGGAGAAACCCATGGACAGAGAAGCCCAGCAGATTACAATCCATGGGGTTGCAAAGAGTTGAACACTGTTAGTAAGCAACTAACACACTGAGAGATAATTATGAATGGATACACACACACACACCGCACACACAGCGGTGGTAGGTGGAGAGGAAGATTGTTCTATTAACAACAGTGAAAGCAGAAAATATTACCGGGCAAATTCATGCTGAAAAATCAAATTGTCTTGGAATAATGCTTTCAGAACTTCCATATTCAAATAAGTTTTTTTAGTATTGAGCTAAAATGACCAGTACCCAATCAGAGTAAATGTTCCTAACTATGTATCTGGGAAATTTTCCCCAGTAAAAAATAAGCATTATTAATTCACATAGCAATATACTATGATATTTTAATAATACTTTACATTTGTAGTTTTAAAGTTTATAAAGTACTTTCACATAAATTATTGTCTTTAGAATGATCATGTGAAATAGATGTTATCTCTTTTTCATAGAAAAGGAAACTGAACTTCAGAGTGATTGCATTGCCAAGTCATACAGCGGAAAATGTCAAAGCTTGCAGCTGAACTCAGCTCTCTGACATTAAATTCAATTATGTAAGACATATCTCTTACCCTTAAGTGTCCCAAAGGATGCAGTACCTTTACAAACATTCATCCATGGGCTTAGTCACTGCACACTGTTACTGCGCACTGTTGCCTTGGGATCTTTTCAGGCTCTGCCATGCTATCTGTCCTGTTATCTTGCTTATCTTTGCCAGCCTTGCACTCTGAATCTTATTTTTGTTTTGGGCCACTCCTTTAGACATTTTCTCAACCCTTGTTCCTTCTTTGGATACCAGTTGGTTCTCCTTTATTTTTCACCAGTTTGCTGGCTGGTTCCCTCTTACTCCTTCCCTCTTGACCCATCTGGATCAGCTCCCACATACAGCTCTGCTCCTGATTCTTGGGTCAGAACTCTGGACCTCCTCTTTATCCACTGGAAGCTCAGGCATTAAGGACCTTGTGTTCAGCAGAGAAGACTGGTTCTAGATAATGTAAGATATAAAGTGTTAAGTTCTAAAATAGAGTATGGAGAAAGTTCTAGAAAATTTGGAGGTTTGGGATCATATCTAGCTTGTAAAATCAGTGATGCTTTTGGTGTTTCTGAACAAGATTTTGAAAAATAAGTGAATTTGGAGTTTTTGTTACAAATTAGTGTATATACAGATAAGTACCACCAATTTGGTTAGCAATAGATGTAGGACAAAGCAGATGTAAAATTGAAGGCATAACTTTCTTAAGAATAATGTTTTATTAAATTACTGGGTTAATTTATTCATTCAAGTGATTTGAAAAGAGACATGAAACTCCATAGATTCCAGTGAAGTTCACAGGCTTTCAATACTTTTTTGCCATGATATTCTTAGTGTATTTCTCAAGTAGAAATTGTTGTAACAGTGACTGGGGTGGGGGGTGGGAGGAAGCGGCATCATTGATAAATTATTAATATTGGATAATTTTTAAAAATTATCTTCAGATTAACATTTTCCATATCTTTGGGTCTTAGCTTTCTGCTTATTACTGTAGTTTAAGCTACAGTTCATATCACAAATGGACTTCATGATTTAATAGAAATAAAAATTAAACTTTAGTCAAGAAAGCTTAAGGCAACCCTTGCTTTGACATTTTCATTTGAGGAGTTTTAACTTAATTTTGACATAATATATAATCTTTTCAAGGAATGATGCATACAGTGTGGAACTGCCCCCTGGGTTTGTTACTCCTAGAAAGGAATCCAGCTTAGATGGTGTGCATGCAGCATGCAGTTCAAAATAGTTGCTCAGAGATGACTTTTGGTGAATTCAGAGTTAAAATTATTTTTGATGTTAATTTCACCCTTCAGTAACACTCCATAAGGATATTTTTAAATACTATCACAAAATTGCTATTCAGTAGTCTCATCTTATTTTTTAACAGTGGTAAAATCTTGATATCTATGGCTTAGTAAGGTTTTCAGATTGAAAAACTATGATATGAATTCTACAAATAGGTTGAATCACAACTTTTGTTCTATTCTTCTTTGTTACCTTATAACAAGAAGAAAATTTGGCCACCAGATTATTATAATGGTTAAAATGCATAAATGAATGTAAAAATGTAGAAGTTGCCTTCAGACTCCTTTCTTCATGAGTAGGCAGATTAATGACAACCTCATTTAATCGCATGGATTCTGTTCCTCATAAGTATCCAACCAGAGAATTGTTGTAAGAACCCAGTTTTACCATAGACTATAAGTCTCAACACTACTGTTTCTACTACTTCAATACTACCGTTGGGGATGGGGGTGGTTAAGGAGACCGGAAGCAAGATAAAAGTTAATTTTCAGCCTGGTCTTTTCTTTTTTAAGCACCTAATTTATTCTGTTGGCCTGTTAAAAGGTGGGGTTAGAAGGAGAAAATGGGATTTATTCCCAAAGATTCATACAACTTCTTTATTGAAAACTAAATACATTGTTACTGTGGGGAGGCCCGGGTTAGAGACGTGGTTTAAGATTTTGAGCTGAGAGCCTTAGAGTGATCCCAGCTATTCTTTAGTCTTTCTGCAGGTCCTGTACTTTGTGGTGCAGGTAGCTAGGCCTTTCTGTGTTAATCGTGTTGTTATTTCAGGAACGAAGTACCACAGATAATCATTTCCACTATCAGGGGATAGGAGTCCTAAGATTTGCTTGGCTTAGGGCAGTGCAGTTCCTCTTCAGCCGTGCAATTAGAACCCTCTCCCCTGTCCCTCAGCTTTAAATGGGGTGCTTAAATTAGACGTGGATTCATGGAGCATGTCTTCTTTGATAAGGAGGAGATTAGGAGTCCTAAGAACTGACCTTTTTCTTTACCCTTCATAGGACTACCTATGTGTGGAGGCAGAATTGTGCACCTCTTCATATTGTCCTATGCCATGGCTGTAAAGGTGAAGGGGGAGGCT